AAAGAGAGCTTGGAGTCTGATTTGAGATGAGTGACAGCTCACATCTGGGTAAAAGTAAGTATATAACCAAGTGCTGTGTGATAGAATTAATAAGGAATTCAGAAAATAAAGCTGAGCAGTTCCGTGAGCTTAGAGGAAAGGGAAAGCTTTATCTAATATGTAAAACTTATGCTGGACATTATGATAAGGGAAATATGAATATTGATTATAAGGATGAGACAAGGAAGAGGTTGCTGGACTAATGAGACATGACAGATTTGACTGTGTAGTCAGAGAATGGAGGATTTTGAATTCTAGATTTAGAAATTTGGACTTAATCCAGTATGCAGTAAGGAGCCATCTATGGATTTTTAATTCTGGGAGTGGCGAAATGAAAGGAATTTTAGCAGAGAACGGAGACCAATATAGGAAGAGCAGCAGGGCACACTTGAAATATTTAAAGAAGGAGCTTATGAAAAATCTGATCTAAACTGGACAACAGTGGGATGTAAAGAATGAGCGAGACATTTTTAAGGGATCCAGGAGAATAGTGGTGCCATTAAAATATCAATAAGTAGGTCCATTAAAGCAGTTTGCTTGGGACATGTATATCAAGTTAACAGAATTTTAAGCGGAAATGTCTTTTGGAGATGGGAGTGAGGTTGGCACTTGATCTATGACTTTGAATGTCATCTTCAGAAAAAGAATGCAACTTCAACTAAAATTCAATCTCAAAAAATTTTAGTGTCCTTGATAGAAATTAAGGGGAACAGAAATTAAGACTTTCTTGTTATTTTACTTATTCCCCTGTACCTCTAATTTTTTTTTGAATGAAGCTTAGAAAAACGTTAAGTCCAATTTTTTTCTTTGACAGTGGCCCAGTGCTCTTAATAGAGGTTAAGGATTCTCTATCTTATAATTCCACAATTGTCTATGCTTTGTAGAATAGTTTAGAATAGTTGAAGAGGAAGCTTACTCTGGCGTCCTTTTTTCAGAGCTTATTCTGGCTTCTTGAGTAGCTGGAATATTTTAAAGAGACTCCTAGTGTTCCCCTTCTTAATATATGAGATGATTTACCTGGATGATAAAAGTGAAGAGCCAAACACAAGTTCATCTATTATCAGTTTGGAATTTAAATTTGTGTGTGTTAAAATATTTTGTTGAAGAATAGCAGAAATGGGGGAAGTTTTGGTTTTTGTTTTTTGGTGTTTTTTTGCTTCTTTGAACCCTGTTTTGTAATAATAATAAGGGTGATGACTATGCCATTAAAAACCCAGCTTGGTGACTGGTTCCTTTTTAAAAAAAAAAAAAACAACCCTCTCCTTTCTTTTTTTCTTTTCTTTTCTTTCTTTTTTTTTTAAGAATACAAATAAGATTGAATCCCTGTTACAGATTAAGTGTTAGCACTTTAGCTTAAAAAAAAAAAAAACTTGGTTCACCTTCTTCAGCAATTTATATATCTCATCAACCTGTTGCAAAAGGCTAAGGCTTCCTTTTAGTAGGAGTGGTATTAAACTTGGGGGATAGTCTTATGTGTCTTGGGTTTAATTTTTTTTCCCTAAAGTACTATGGTTTATCCAATTTTAATGCTTTTTTTATTCCCCCATCCATTTAAGCAGAGAATTTGTGAAACTTAAGGTGACGTTTTAATACTCAAATTTTTGTATTTGAGATTCTTTCACTGAAGGGTGCTAATTTGCTCAATATAAGCAGAAGTTGGGATTTTTAAAAAGAGCAGTGCAACTAATCATACCCATGGTGCCTAACTAATTTTACAGATTTGTTGTAGATACCTTTTATGATTTACCATTCCTAAAACAAGTATACAGAGTCTTGGGATCTGAAAGAATATCAAGAGATTTAAATATTTAAGAATGAGAGTCATTAAAAGAAATACAGATAAACTTTGTTTATGGACTTAATTTTGTAGATGAACTGGGGTTGCTTACTTATGGTATAGTGTGTAATGTAACAGGTGTGAAATAGCCATGAGTAAT